ACCTGATCTGATTGCTCTTGTTCACTTTCTTCGAGGCTAATTTCTGCCCTTTACTCGTTTTTGTTTGTTCCTGCTCTAGCTTTCTCACCCTCCCTTTCCCTTTCTGCTATGTTATGTATCCCTGTTTCATTCTTTTCTGACTTGCTCTGTATGATGTTTTCCACTCTTACTTCCACTCCTTGGTTTTCACCTCTATTTGCATTTTTTTCTCCTTTTCTTGTTCCTTTTTCCCTGTTTTCCACTCTTTGTTTAAACTCTGGAAGCTCCTTAGAAACTTCCTTATGCTTTCTATGTTTTCTTTTTTCAGTACCTCGCTTATGCTTAGCCCTTTCAGGGTTGGTGCCGTACTAGTACGGCTTGCAGGCCAGGGTTGGTGCAGTACTAGTACGCATAAATTCTAGCACCTTCAAATCTAGCAAGAGAAAGCTGGTTAGGCCTACATATAAAAGAATGGGTCTTTGTGGTCAGTGTGTGCAGTATAAAAAAAATTCTACGGCACATGGTGCATAATGAGAAAAAAAAAAACTCTAACCGTGTTTTTGGTTTAAAACAGCGACCTTGCAGTGTATTTTCGTATGCTATTTATGGTTGTATTCTAGTTTTCCTGGTCTCATTTTATAGAATGAAAGACATATTGCAGAAATTGAGATGACTTTGATTGGTTTCACAATGAAAAAAACTTGAAATTGAGCTCAAAGTAGCAGAAATGTTCGATTTTTGCCAAAGTTCAAAGGTAAACAAATCATGCCATGCGTCCAATACACATCAACTGGTGAGTCTGATATATCTTTCACAAGTGCACTGATATATTTATAACCATTTCTACACTAATGCAGTAGTCTGCATAACATAAATCTTCTATTTTTTTGTAAGAATAAAAATTCAAAGTGGAAAGCAAAAGAAATGTAACAGAGGCCTGGAGACATGAGTAATGAACAGAGTAAATGTTATTTTAGTGCCAGGAATGTCTGTCTTGTTTATTCTGGACCCTATTTGGAAATCGGCATCTTTTGAAATTTGTGTGAAATTGGCAAAATAGCCAATTTCTGACCACTTTATTGGATAGTTGAAATTGGTAAATGGATGGTTTCTTGCACTCATTCGATAAAAAAAATGGAGTTCTAGGGAAATAGGTATGATTTTTCTTGACTAGTACATTGGAATTGGCTGAAAATAGGGCTCAAAGTGGGCGAAATCGCAGATGTGTAAACATCGTCGAGACCACTAACTTCGTGAGAGCATAATTCTGTAAGTTTTCCATCAAATTTCATAATTTTGGTGCCATTATGATCGAGAAAAGATTCTCTATCATTTCATAAGAAAAAATAATTTTTTTTTTTTTTCAAAAAATTTCCGACCCTGAGAACAAGTTTAGGGCCTGTCGACCCTGAAAGGGTTAACCAGCTACCCCTTTCACTGGGGCAAATCCAGAAATGACTTTCTTGTTTTAGGTCATTTGTCATGGTTGCATGAAGCTGTGTACATGATATATGTGATGTTTTACTACATATTTCCCAATCACTGCTCCTCATGTTTCTCCCCAAAAAAATTTTCACATATACAGCAGCCTTTATTCCTGGTCATGATTACTTTTAAGCAGATGTATGTGGTGGATGGTGTATTTATTATGTGTGGGCTGGGGGGTGGTGGCTGGTAGATGGGGAGGGCTGGGCGGTGGGTAGGGAAGATAGGAGGAGGGGGCTGTGCTGTGGGATGGTAAGCTGGGAGGTAGGGGTCTGTGGAAAGAAGGTGAGGGTGCGAGGAGGGGGGCCGGGGGGTGGGATTATTGGATGGATGGTGTAGGATCCGGGGAATGGGGCGGGGGCATGAGGCGGGGGCTGGGAGGTGGGGTGTGCGTGGCACTTGTGCACTTATTCCCATATAATTACACCATAGTTTTTACACTACACTCGGGATTAAAAAGGATTAACTCCTATCCACAAGTTCAGTTTACTATATCACTGCTGGTTTATATCCATTTTTCCTCGTTATAACACTTGTACGATAGTTTGCACTTCACTGTCACCTCTGACAATAATTTTTTCGCTGGTGATGGTCAACCCATGAATATACTCCATATATTATGCACTATGTATTGGGTATTTGACAGATTGCTGTAATCCACAATTTAGGATTACTATATCACTGAGCATCAATACCTCATCATTTGTTATATTCCTTATGAGATAAGAAACAGTCCTTCAGTACAAAACACAACCCACTGTATGATAACACTTATAGGCTTAGTTCACTGTATAACTCTTTCCAGATTCATTCCTCTCTGATCACTCATATATATTTTAGTTTACTGATCTTACTGTGTTCCTCACACTGGTCTAGACTGGCTATTGCAGTATGGGGTATATGGTGTTTTTATGAATGAATATGGTAGGCCTGAGTGGCTGCCTGGCAGCACTGCCAGATGTATGACTTCACACATCACTGCAGGGTACGTGGCACTTCTCTCATGCCACCACATTTTAGTTTAAACCACTTCCATTATGTTAATCACTATCCTTGTGTTGTTCCACTGACAATTTAGGCTCACTAGGTCTTTCTATTATGTCTCGGTATCCTAGTCTATTCATTATATGTGGTAACTCAAACCTTTGTGTACCACGTGTCACATGTCAACACTAGTCTTATTACTCGCTTTATTACTTATGACTATAGTAAATACTCGACTCACGAAATCATAATGACACGATTGCAAACAAACCATACCCCGGCCAGGATTGAACCCGCGGTCAGAGAGTCTCAAAACTCCAGCCCGTTTTGTTTGCAATCGTGTCATTACGATTTCGTGAGTCATGTTGACAGCAGTGAAGGGACTTGAGCTAGAGTTCGTCACGGCCACGCTAGCTGGAGATTCGTCTGTAAAAACTTGCATTTGTGGTCACAGTGGTGCCTGTGCTAACCTTCCTATGGTGTAGAAATATACCTAGTTGGACGAATCTTATTGTGGCTAGCTGGTCTAGTGGCTAACGCGACGGGCTGGAGTTTTGAGACTCTCTGACCGCGGGTTCAATCCCGGCCGGGGTATGGTTTGGATAGTAAATACTCATCTGTTATTTCCACTTTTCTGGACCTCTGGCAATAGTTTGCTAGAGCTAGTTGCTTGTAAATATTCCCATATGCTACACCATATATTTTATGTTATACTGGGGAATAATTAAGATTACTCTTATCTACAATTTAGTTCACTATGTCACTGCACATATATATCCTTGTCACTCACTATATTACTTATAGATAGTTCAGTGTCTGTTTATTTCCACTTCTGTCGACTTCTGGCAATAATTCACTAGTGCTGGTCAGGCCTATTTCCACAGTAACCGTTACTCCACCGGCACTCTCCATATCACACTGTAATCCATAATTTTCTATTTAGTGTTCACTGATATTCCTTTTATGTCGGTTCAAAGGAGTATATGCACTTTATGGTTGCACACGCTTATTTCCTGCCCTCTGTTTCCCCTGGGACTATCAGGAAATGCAATTTTTGATGGAGCTCGACTGCATGTGACTTCCCCTCACATCTGGAGCACAGTTCTTGTACTCATTCAATAGAACAAATGGAGTTCTAGCGAAATAGCTATGACGTTTGTCAACTGATACATTGGAATTGGCTGAAAATAGGTCTCAAAGTGGGTGAAATCGCCAAAGTGTAAACATCATCAAGACCGCTAACTTTGCGAGAGCATATTTCCGTAAATTTTCCATCAAATTTCGTACTTTTGGTGTCATTATGATTGGGAAAAGATTCTCTATCATTTCATAAGAAAAAATAATTTTTATTATTTTCAAAAAAATTTTGACCCTGAGAAGGAGTTTAGGAGAGAGCCCCTTGACCCTGAAAGGGTTAATTGGATTTACATTATTTCTTATGGGAAATATTGCTTCAGTTTTGGGACAATTCGGTTTTTGTCAGACTTTCTGGAATGAATTAATCGCAAAAACCATGGTTCCACTGTATTACAATAATAATAATAATAATAATAACCCTTTGACTGTTTCGGTCGTATATATACGTCTTACAAGCCACCGTTTTTGACATAGTATATACTCATAAATTCTAGTGGCTTCAAATCAAGCAGGAGAAAGCTGGTAGGCCCAAATGTGAGAGAATGGGTCTGTGTGGTCAGTGTGCACCATATAAAAAATATCCTGCAGCACGCAGTGCATAATGAGAAAAAAAAACTGAGACCGTTTTTTTAATTAAAATGCCGAATTTGTGGTCTATTTTCGTATAGTATTTATGGTTGTATTCTCGTTTTCTTGGTCTCGTTTGATAGATAGTGTGATAGATAGGTGATTTTGATTGGTTTTACTTTGAAAAGAACCTTGAAATGGAGCTCAAAGTAGGGGAAATGTTTGATTTTTGCCGATGTTCAGAAGTAAACAAATGATGTCATTTTTCCAATAAATGTCCAACTAGCCATTCTAATATGCAGTCATGAATGGATTAACATTATTTACACAATTATTACAATATTGCAGTAGTCTGCATAACAGTAAATCTTCTATTTTTTGTTTGAATAAAAATTCAGAATAGAAGGCAAGAGTAATATCAGAGGGGCCTGGAATTGGTAAATGGGCAGTTTCTTGTACTCAATTGATAGAAAAAATGGAGTTCTGAAGAAATAGCTATGAGTTTGGTCGACTGGATAATGGAATTAGCCGAAAATAGGGCTCAAAGTAGGCAAAATCGCCAATTTGTAAACATCGCCGAGGTTGCTAAGTTCACGAGAGCATAATTCCATCAGTTTTCCATCAAATTTTGTTCTTTTGATGTCATTACAATCGGGAAAAGATTCCCTATCATTTCACAAGAAAAAATAATTATTTTTTTTTATGGAAATTTTGCGACACCAGGAGACGCCACAGGATTTGGGGTTGCAACAGTCTAGGGGATGATAATACCGCAAGCATTACATAATTATGATAAACATCAACATAGTAAAAGAAAAAGTTTAACAATTATTTCTTTTATGCAGGTCATCCTGGTAGCCGAGGTTGGTACTTGTAGTACCAGTACTTCAGGTCATCCTGGTAGCAGAGGTTGGTACTGGTAGTACCAGTACTTCAGGTCATCCTGGTAGCAGAGGTTGGTACTTGTAGTACCAGTACTTCAGGTCATCCTGGTAGCAGAGGTTGGTACTTGTAGTACCAGTACTTCAGGTCATCCTGGTAGCAGAGGTTGGTACTGGTAGTACCAGTACTTCAGGTCATCCTGGTAGCAGAGGTTGGTACTTGTAGTACCAGTACTTCAGGTCATCCTGGTAGTGGAGGTTGGTACTTGTATTACCAGTACTTCAGGTCATCCTGGTAGCAGAGGTTGGCACTGGTAGTGTATCAACACTTCTTGTCATCCTGGTAGCAGAGGTTGGTACTTGTAGTACCAGTACTTCAGTTCATTCTGGTAGCAGAGGTTGGTACTGGTAGTGCCAGTACTTCAGGTCATCTTGGCACCAGATATATTCTTATTGTAGTGTCAATTTTTATTATCATAAGGCTCCCATATGTGTCAAATTCTGAAGTATATAGTGACAACACTGTGTTACTACAGTATTAGAAATATATAGTGACAACACTGTGTTACTACAGTGTTAGAAATATATAGTGACAACACTGTGTTACTACAGTGTTAGAAATATATAGTGACAACACTGTGTTACTACAGTGTTAGAAATATATAGTGACAACACTGTGTTACTACAGTGTTAGAAATATATAGTGACAACACTGTGTTACTACAGTGTTAGAAATATATAGTGACAACACTGTGTTACTACAGTGTTAGAAATATAACATTTACAGTGGCATCAGTGTCATGAAGTTGTTGTGTAATAATACTGTTAAACATCACATTAACATCCTAGTATAAACATCCTAGTATAAACATCTTGCTGTGTTGACAAACATCCTTGTATTATCTCTGTAATAAGAATTTTTTCATAATATTTGTTGTTACAAAACTGTTGTGAGAGACAACACAATAAGTGTGAGGGGCCCAAGACTGTTTAACTGCCTCCCAGCATACATAAGGGGGATTACCAATAGACCCCTGGCTGTCTTCAAGAAGGTGCTGGACAGGCACCTAAAGTCAGTACCTGACTAACTGGTCTGTGGTTCGTACGTCAGTTTGTGTGCAATCAGCAGTAACAACCTGGTTGATCAGACCCTGATCCACCACGAGGCCTGGTATCAGACTGAGCCCTGGGGGTGTTGACCCCCAAAACCCTCTCCAGGTAAACTCCAGGTAAGAAACATTGAAATTTATGAAGAGTATTAGAGAAGCCTTCAAGGAAGGTGCTTGTCAACTGCTTGTTTGATCCAGTTATTGGAGATATACTCCCATTTTTAAATATCCATCCTATTCTTCAAGCACAATTTAAACCTTACTGGTTTAGTGCCTTGCTGTTGCCTGGCTGGCAAAGCTCTCATTTCACACATGGAGGGCCCGGGTTTGATTCCTCACGGGGTAGAAACATTTCGATGTGTTTTCCTACACATGTTGTCCTGTTCACCTAGCAGCAAATAGGTACCTGGGTGTTAGTTGACTGGTGTGGGCGGCATCCTGGGGGACAAGATTGAGGGCCCCAATGGAAATAAGTTAGACAGTCCTTGATGACGCACTGACTTTTTTGGGTTATCCTGGGTGGCTAACCCTCCGGCGTTAAAAATCCAAACGAAGTCTTATCTTCAATATAAGAAAGTGATCACAGAAATTGTATGTGCTAAGTACTACATTATTGACCCCAGTGTTACTCATGTAGGTCTAGATTATTAGTCAGTGTTACTCACGTAGGTCTACATTATTAATCAGTGTTACTCACGTAGGTCTACATTATTAATCAGTGTTACTCACGTAGGTCTAGATTATTAATCAGTGTTACTCACGTAGGTCTACATTATTAATCAGTGTTACTCACGTAGGTCTACATTATTAATCAGTGTTACTCACGTAGGTCTACATTATTAATCAGTGTTACTCACATAGGTCTACATTATTAATCAGTGTTACTCACGTAGGTCTACATTATTAATCAGTGTTACTCATGTAGGTCTACATTATTAATCAGTGTTACTCATGTAGGTCTACATTATTAACCCCACACTTGTAGGTCTACATTTTAAGCACAGTTGTCTCACATAGGCTGTGAGTAGTAAATTTGGGTGTAGACATGCGAGGATGTGTCTTCGGAGCAAGTGCACAGTGTAAATCAAATCCTTCCCCAAGCAGTGCATCCTGAGAAAAACTGACCTCTGACCTGTTTGGTTTTAAATAGTGACTTGGAGGTGGTTTTAGGATGTTTTTTCCTGGTTTTGTGCCTGTTTCTTGGTACTGGTTGATAAAATGGACATCATTCTACTGAAAAGAATAATTTGGTTGATTTCAAAACCAGAAGCAGCTTGAAATATTTAATTTCTGACAATTTTTTCTTTAGGAAAGACTCCTTCTCCCCTCTCATCTTCAATTATTAGGATGGCCTAAATCACGACAATTTTTCCTGGTTATTTTTTATTATCTGAGAAATAGGGTAAAACTTATATTTTGTGTGTGTGGATTCAAAACAGAGGGAAGGCGTAATATACTAGAGGCTGGGAAAGATGATTAATGAACAGATGATACGTTGCTGGAATGCATACTCTGTTCATTTTTTATTGTTTTCAGATTAGAATTTGTTGAATTTTGTGTTAAATTAATCAAATTAGCAACTCTTATGCACTTTAGCTACTGTGAATAAGCTAAAAAAAATTTTTGGAATGAGCAAAAGGTGAAATTGCTGATGTGCTCAGATTGCCTCTTTAATTCTACAAGTTTGCATCATATTTTATGTTTCTGGAGTCATTACCTTAACAAAAAGATTCTCTGCCATTTCCAAAGAAATTTTTTTCTCCTTTCAGAAATTCTGACACCTCAAACACTTTTAATTTTTGGGTTCTTATAGTGAAAGGGTTTTGTTCACTATGTCTGATATACTTGATAAAGAAAGTGTTCAAGCATCACATGTTACAGTTCATCCAGAAGTCGAACTTCATCAGTATTCACATTCCTCACAAAAATCTCATTGTGAATCACTTGTAACAATTAATGAATGCAAAAACACAGTTTTTTGTTTAATGTGTTTGAAAGAGTTTTCTAAAAAAAAATATTTAGTGAGACATATGAAAATTCATACCAAAGAGAAACAGTATCAGTGTTGTATGTGTCTAGAAAAGTTTTCAGATAAATCATGTTTATTAGAACACATGAAAAATCATTCTGGAAAGAAACCATATCAATGTTCAGAATGTCTAAAAGAGTTTTCAGCTAAATCAGGTTTAGTAAAACACATGAGAAGTCATACTGGAGAGAAACCATATCAGTGCTCAGAGTGTCTAAAAGCATTTGCCAGAAAATATGTTTTAGTAGAACACATGAGAATTCATACTGGAGAAAAGCCATATAAATGTTCGGAATGTCTACAAGAGTTTAACAGAAAACAAATTTTATTACAACACCTGAGGATTCATACTGGAGAGAAACCATATAAATGTTCAGAGTGTCAAAAAAAATTTTCACAAAAATCTCATTTAATACAACACATGAGAATTCATACTGGAGAGAAACCATATAAGTGTTCTGAGTGTCTAAAAGAGTTTTCAGATAAATCGTCTTCAGTACAACACATGAGAATTCATACTGGAGAGAAACCATATCAGTGTTCTGAGTGTCTAAAAAGTTTTTCAGATACAACTTCTTTAGTAGAACACATGAGAATTCATACTGGAGAGAAACCATTTCAGTGTTCAGAGTGTCTTAAAGGGTTTTCACGAAAATCTTATTTAGTAAGGCACATAAGAATTCATACTGGAGAGAAACCATTCAAGTGTTCAGAATGCCTAAAGGCATTTCCATATAAATCAAATTTAGTAAAACACCTCAGACTTCATACCAGTTAGAAATCATATCAGAGTTCGGTTTTGCAGTAATGATTTCAAGTTGGAAAAATTCAGATTCAGGAAGGACATAGGAAAGCACTGGTTTGGTAATAGAGTTGTGGATGAATGGAACAAACTCCCAAGTACAGTGGACCCCCACATAACGTTGGCATCGCATAGTGTTAAATCCACAGAGCGATACATTTTATCGCTAAAATTTTGCCTCGCATAGTGCTAAAAAATTCACTCAACGCGATTCGTCCGAGACACGTCCATGCGGCCTGAGCCAGCCTCACTTGTTCTGCCAGTGGCATTGTTTACAAGCCAGCCTCCGCGGTAACATTCAAGCATACAATCAGAACATTTCGTATTATTACAGCCTTTTTATAGTGATTTCACCTGAAAAATAAGTGACCATGGGCCCCAAGAAAGCTTCTAGTGCCAACCCTACAGGAATAAGGGTGAGAATTACTATGGAGATGAAGAAAGAGATCATTGCTAAGTATGAAAGTGGAGTGCGTGTCTCCGAGCTGGCCAGGTTGTATAGTAAACCCCAATCAACCATCGTTTCTATTGTGTCCATGAGAACGGCAATCAAGGAAGCTGTTCTTGCCAAAGGTTTAGCTGTGCTTTCAAAACAGAGATCGCAAGTGATAGAAGATGTTGAGAGACTGTTATTGGTGTGGATAAACGAAAAACAGATAGCAGGCGATAGCATCTCTCAAGCGATCATAAGTGAAAAGGCTAGGAAGTTGCACAAGGATTTAATTAGAAAAATGCCTGCAACTAGTGGTGATGCGAGTGAATTTAAGGCCAGCAAAGGTTGGTTTGAGAGATTTAAGAGGCATAGTGGCATACATAGCGTGATAAGGCATGGTGAGGCTGCCAGTTTGGACCAAAAAGCAGCTGAAAAATATGTGCATGAATTCAAGGAGTACATAGACCTGAAACCTGAACAAGTGTTTAATTGTGAAGAAACAGGCCTGTTTTGGAAGAAAATGCCAAGCAGGACCTATGTTACTCACGAGGAAAAGGCACTCCCAGGACATAAGCCTATGAAAGACAGGCTTACTCTTCTCATGTGTGCCAATGCTAGTGGTGATTGCAAAGTAAAGCCTTTATTAGTGTATCACTCTGAAACTCCCAGAGCGTTCAGGCAAAAGAATATCCTCAAGGCTAATTTGTGTGTGCTGTGGAGGGCAAACAATAAGGCATGGGTCACTAGGGACTTTTTCTATGACTGGTTACACCAAGCATTTGCCCCCAATGTGAAAAATTACCTAACTGAAAAGAAATTAGACCTTAAGTGCCTCCTGGTGTTAGACAATGCCCCTGGTCATTCTACAGACTTGGCAGAGCGACTTTGTGGGGACATGAGTTTCATTAAGGTGAAGTTTTTGCCTCCTAATACCACTCCTCTCCTGCAGCCCATGGACCAGCAGGTTATTGCAAACTTCAAAAAACTGTACACAAAAGCTCTGTTTGAAAGGTGCTTTGTAGTGATCTCAGAAACTCAATTGACTCTAAGAGAGTTTTGGAGAGAGCACTTTAATATCCTCAGTTGTGTAAACCATATAGGTAAGGCTTGGGAGGGAGTGACTAAGAGGACCTTGAACTCTGCTTGGAAGAAACTGTGGCCAGAATGTGTAGACCAAAAGGATTTTGAAGGATTTGAGGCTAACCCTGAGAATCCTATGCCAGTTGAGGAATCAATTGTGGCATTGGGGAAGTCCTTGGGGTTGGAGGTTAGTGGGGAGGATGTGGAAGAGTTGGTGGAGGAGGACAATGAAGAACTAACCACTGATGAGCTGCTAGATCATCTTCAACAGCAAGAGGGCAGACCTGAGGAAATTGCTTTGGAGGAGGGGAGAGAGAAATTGAAGAAGTTGCCTACTTCAAAGATTAAGGAAATCTGTGCAAAGTGGCTTGAAGTGCAAACCTTCATGGATGAAAATCACCCTCAGACAGCTATTGCAAGCCGTGCTGGTGACTATTACACTGACACTGTTGTGAAATACTTTAGGAAAGTCATAAAGGAACGAGAGGTACAGGCCACTATTACCTGGAGAGAGTTCCGGGGGTCAACGCCCCCACGGCCCGGTCTGTGACCAGGCCTCCTGGTGGATCAGAGCCTGATCAACCAGGCTGTTGCTGCTGGCTGCACTATGGACAGATATGTTGTGCAACAGAAGTCCAGCGACTCTGAAGCTGGTCCTAGTGGCATTAAAAGAACAAGGGAAGCAACCCCAGAAAAGGACTTGACACCTTAAGTCCTAATGGAAGGGGATTCCCCTTCTAAACACTAAAACCATCCAGTCTCCCCTCCTCCCATCCCATCAATCATCAGCACATATTCAATAAAGGTAAGTGTCATGTAACTGTGCATGTTTTCTTAAGTTTGTGTGTATTAAAATTAATATTAAAATTAATATTTCATGGAGGTGATGTCCTGGGAGACAGTAATAGTAAAGCTGGAGGTGCTGGCCTGGGAGACAGTAATGGTGAAGCTGGAGGTGCTGTCCTGGGAGACAGTAATGGTGAAGCTGGAGGTGCTGTCCTGGGAGACAGTAATGGTGAAGCTGGAGGTGCTGTCCTGGGAGACAGAAATGGTGAAGCGGGAGATACTGTCCTGGGAGACAGTAATGATGAAGCTGGAGATTTTGTCCAGGTAGTCGGGAATTATACGCAGGAAGGAATACATATAAATGACCACATAGGGGATAGGAGCCATAGTAGGGAAACAAGTGTAGTCAAAGATAAGATAAAACCAATATTGCAAACTAGAAATACCGCAGGAAATAGCAAACAAGAGACTCCAATAGCAATAGTGAGGATAAATTACCAAAAACAACTGGTGGGAGCTCCATTGTTGGTGCTAGGGATGATAGAAGTAAGACAGGGAAACATGCACCAACAGGGAATACAGTCACAGAAACCCAAGGCAAGCGGAAACCAAGCCTGTGCACATACTATGCACTTGGTATCTGCTGGCATGGGAAATCTGGAAAAAACAGATGGGACGTGCAACTATGACCACCCTAGAAAATGCCATGCCCATATGACAACAGGAAAATGCAAACTCCCTTCCTGTAAGCTTTTCACCCTGAAATGTGTACCTCTTAAGTACAGGAAAGACTGTGCTATAACTTAAATTGCCAGGCATACCATCTAAAGGGGACAAAAAGATACAAAACATCCAGGCCATGGGAAAACCTGGGTAGCCACAGCCACTCAGAGGGAGAGGTTTTTTAGTGCCAGGAAGGAAAAAAAACTGGCAGGAAATGGCAGAAATCGTACACCAAATCCAGTCATTCCTGGAGTGGAACCACAGTCGATGGCCTCCACTCCAAACCAACAGATACAGATACTAATCCCGGTAAAAAAAATCCCCCCCCAGTACCAACAATACCACCAGTCCGATAACATTCTTCTTTGCAAATATACAGGGTCTAAAGCCAGCAACAAACAACAAAATACCTTTCATCCGTGGACTGCTTGCAGAGGCAAAGGCAATGTTCGCGGCTTTCACTGAGACCCACATAAAGGATCACTTGACAATGAAATATGGATCCCAGGTTACAACCTATACAGATGTGACAGAGTGAACAGGCAAAAGGGGGGGGTTGGCCTGTACATTGCAGAGTCACTTGTTTGCACAGAACTGCTTAATGCCTCAAATGACGTAGTGGAAGTTTTAAGCAGTAAAGGTCGAGAACCAAAACCTAGTCATTGTGGTAGTCTACAAGCCTCCGGATGCAACATCCCAGCAATTCCAGGAACAGCTGTTAAAAATTGACCACTGTCTGGAAAATCTTCCAGCTCCTGCACCCAACATCTTGCTCCTGGGGGATTTCAACTTAAGGCACCTAAAATGGAGGAATATAGCAAATAATATTGTTGCAGTAATAACACCAGGAGGCAGCTCTGATGAAAACTCACACTCACACGAGCTTTTAAATCTCTGCACAAAATTCAATTTAAACCAGCAAATAATAGAGCCTACTAGACTGGAGAATACACTAGACCTCATATTCACTAACAATGATGATCTGATAAGAAATGTCACCATATCAAAAACAATATACTCAGATCACAACATAATTGAGGTTCAGACATGTATGCGAGGAGCCCCAGACCGACAAAATGAGACTAGTCACGGGGGAGCATTCACCAAATTCAACTTCAATAACAAAAACATAAAGTGGGACCAAGTAAACCAAGTCCTAACCGATATAAGCTGGGAAGATATACTAAGCAACACAGACCCAAACTTATGCCTAGAACAGATTAACTCGGTGGCACTCGATGTATGCACAAGGCTTATTCCTCTAAGAAAAAGGAGGAGTAGATGTAAAATAGAAAGAGACAGGCGCTCCCTTTACAGGCGACGGAAAAGAATAACAGAGCGGCTAAAAGAGGTCAATATTCTGAAATGCGCAGGGAGACACTGGTCAGAGAAATAGCAAGCATCGAACTTAAGCTAAAAGAATCCTTTAGGAGTCAGGAATCGCGGGAAGAACTAAAAGCTATAAATGAAATCGAAAGAAACCCAAAGTATTTCTTCTCCTATGCCAAATCAAATCGAGAACAATCCCCAGTATTGGGCCCTACTTAAACAAGATGGGTCCTACACAGATGACAGCAAGGAAATGAGTGAGCTACTCAAGTCCCAATATACTCATTTTTTTAGCAAGCCGCTAACCAGACTGAGAGTCGAAGATCAAAATGAATTTTTTATGAGAGAGCCACAAAATTTGATTAACACAAGCCTATCCGATGTTATCCTGACGCCAAATGACTTCGAACAGGCGATAAATGACATGCCCATGCACTCTGCCCCAGGGCCAGACTCATGGAACTCTGTGTTCATCAAGAACTGCAAGAAGCCCCTATCACGAGCCTTTTCCATCCTATGGAGAGGGAGCATGGACACGGGGGTCGTCCCTCAGTTACTAAAAACAACAGACATAGCCCCACTCCACAAAGGGGGCAGTAAAGCAACAGCAAAGAACTACAGACCAATAGCACTAACATCCC